TACACAAAGCGTATTTTCCAGAGACCTAATAGTTATAATAACAGGAAATAAAATCTTTTTAAGCTTCATTTCAGACATTGCACCCAGAAAGGCACCTAAATACAACACAGTTCAGAACTCCAGGACAAAAGCTAGAGTCTACACAGTCAAAGACAGACTTTCTTCCGCACATTACTATTTTAAGTGGACAAAACCTGAGATCTCAGGAGAAGCACTGATTGTACTTACATTTGAACACTGATCTCTCGTTTGATAACTCTGTAATATTTCCTGAACGTGGTGATTTAACTCTTCTTCAATTTCTGAACCTTTGGCATCTGCACATTGCTCTAAAAACTAAAAGAAACAGAACAAAAGAACTCGGGATGGCTCTATAGTTACAGGCCTATCACCTCAAAAAGGAATGTAGAAATGGACAGTACTTGCCCTGTTCAGAATGACTTCGAGATCATGGACAGCATGAAGCAACCCTTTCTCCAGAACCTTCAGCTGACTGAGCAGTAAGTGAACCACAGCTCGGCTACATGTCAGCATGTGACAATTTAAACAAGAACCGCGAATTAGAAGGTATAATTTCTGGAAAGAAAAGGGGGGAAAAAAAGGTTATCCTGGTAGAGTTACCAGCTTGCACAGCAGGCGAGTCAATAGATTTGTTTGAACTTAAAGAAAGTGCTGTTATCATTGAGAAATTAGATTAATTGTTAAATTTAATTGTAGAGAATTGGACTAAAAAAAAATTCTTTCAACCACACAAACCCCCTACGCAAAGCATGATCTGTAGACAAACTGTCTGCAGGCTGTCTACATCACAGATACAGGACAAGCCTGTCACATCTACAGCAACCCAGGGACCAAGGCTGCTCTACACAGCACTGTGTTTACAGCTTCGAACAGCTTGTCCCATAAAAGACAATGTCGTACCCAAAACTCCACACTAGTAAAATGAAACGTTCTGGTCACAAGTACTATTAGTGTCCCTCAAGATTCTTCATCAAGCTTCAGCAAAAATATCCCTGGTTTTTATTATTCAGCATAGCTCTGCAAACAACTCGCTCTAGCTGCAGGCAGCGCCAGTGGCCTGAAGGCTGGGAATTACCGCTGCATGATTTTATTCCTTGGTCAAATACAAGTATTTTACTCCAAAGCTGGGACAAGACTAGAAGTGGGATGGACCTCATCTAACCTCAGTCATCTGAAAGTGAGTTTTAATGGCCTGTGCAGGAGCCAGCTACTGTAAACGGGGAGATCGGCACCTCAGGATGGAAACTCATCCCAGCTCATGTGTCTGACCTCCAGATGCAAGAAATCTTCTTGACAACTTTTTTTATCCTAGGATAAACGTAGGTAGCTGCCCATGTAGGTTTGCAGTAGTTGTTTAAAGGAAACAACTAATAATTTTTACTGTGCCACCCATTTAATTAAGGCATGAGACCCTACAATCAGTCACATAGTTTAGCAATCAATAGCTCCCCTCACTTGTTCGACAATATTGGGTAAAATAATAGTTACAACGAAGTGTGTATTTTTCAAAAGTCTAAGGAGTCTCTCTGCCTTGAACTATCACGACATAACAAACTTTTTCTACTACATTTGCTGTTATTAAACTTAGAGAGAAAACAGATCCCAGCATCTTTACTGTTTTCAGGACTACAAACTCATAGCTTGAGCACCACCACCAATTTCACCAGCAAGACAATAATGAAGCATACATACATCAAAAAACAGAGGGTTGTAGACAGTCAGAGGCAGTTCTATATGGCCAAAATGGCCAGGGCAGTTGCTGAAGTTCTGCATGCAAGTTGCACACACTTCTTTAGAGTCTGGAGGTCCCAAAGCCAAGTCGTACAGTCCATTAACAGCTGGATTCCCCACATTATCCAAATACTGAGGATTTGTTATGGGTTTTACGCTCAGTTTCCTGAAGTTGAAAGAAAAGAACAAAAATCAGCGGCAGCAAACAGCCACATGAGATGCACTTGAATGGTACTGGCATTGAGATTTAGGATCCATATGATTTTTTTTACTGATGAAAACATATTTTTTGAGGGTACTTCGTTCATGCAGTGGGCATTTCTGTATCGTTAACTTCATTGTCTGAGTACAATGATTCATACCACAGTCAATATTTCTTTTACATCTTCAGCCATTATGTTAAGAAGTCAGGTAATTCTGTCTGTGTGTCCTCTCAAGCAGTGGGGGAGGTATAAAACCAACAAAACACCTAGATGACAACAGCCTTACGTCCTTGACTATAAACAGTGCTAACATCACTCCAACACTAAAGAAATGCTGACAGCTCTCTAGAACTCCAGGAGAGATGACCTGCTGGAAAAAGCTGCAAAAAAAACCCTGTGCTGCAGCGAAGATGTCAGCTCTACAATACTCATACTGGTGCTAAAATAGCTGAACATTTTCCTCTTGCTGACACCAGCAAGGTCTTTTCCATGTCAGGCACTCAGGATCTGAAGCCAGGCCAGGTTTCCAGGACCGTGCCCACCAAGCAACAAGCCCATCCTTACCAGCCCAGGGCTTCTCCAGACTCTGGCAGGCCCTGCTGAGGTGCAGGGAGTCGGGGGAAAACAACACAGTCCCTCAGAGAAGCCCCCCACACCCAAGAGAGGCGCAGCCTTTGCCCCCACAAAACGAGTTTATGCTGCACCCCGCAGCCTCTGCCCCTGGCTCCACATGTAAATGGCCATACTCCCCCCCGACACCATTGCCAGCGAGGGG